ATCGTAAACACCCATATCGGCAAGGGCACCAGGAGTGGGAGTATGGGCAGTTCTTCCAACTTCGGCGTATTTCGGCAGCTGCCGAGTTTCCCAGGCATTTCGCTCGCCCCGCCTCCGCCAAGAGATGGCAAGAAACGAGAGCAGAGCTTCGGGGGGGAGCAACTTTCTGGCTTTCCAGAATCAGAGCAAGTCTAGCAGTTTGGTTATAAACCCTAAACCCTAAACCCTAAGCCCTAAACCCTAAACCCTAAACCCTTAGTGGAAGCAGCGAGTTAAAGAGAGAGAGATGCTCTGCCCACGAGGCCATGCCCAAGAGGCTTGGGAAGATTCCCGGGCCTGGCAAGTCCCCTAGAATGCCTGCAGGCACCCCTTGAAGCACAGGGTTCGCCTGCATAGAGTCAGGGCCCTGACGAAATGGACTCCGTTAAGGTGTTGAGGGAAAAAATCTGCCCCAAACCCCTGAAGCCCTTCTTGGGGGTGTTCCACACGTTCCACAAGTTTGGCTCAGGGTGGTTTCGGGGCATAGTCCATTTCATTCGGCTATGGAATGGGAGGAGTGCAGACAAGCCAAAAGAGGATGATTTAAGGCATGTGTTCCTTCATTCAGGTTCCCCAAATTCAGGGCGGGGAAGCCCTAAACCCTGAAGCTTGAACCCTAAGCCCTAAACCCTAAACCCTAAACCCTAAACCCTAAACCCTAAACCCTAAACCCTAAACCCTAAACCCTAAACCCTAAACCCTAAACCCTAAACCCTAAACCCTAAACCCTACACGGGACCTCGAGGTGCCTCTTGCAGGTCCTTTCTTTCGTCCGGGTTCCTGGGTAGGTTGCAGCCGCGCAACCCGTCCGGCGCGCCTCCAGCCCCAGCTAGGGCCTTTGGGAAATGTTACATATTTCCTTTTTGGGTTTAGGGTTTAGGGTTTAGGGTTTAGGGTTTAGGGTTTAGGGGGATAATATTTCGAGACATTTTTCAGAGGGTGTATGCTTGAGACGTGTGTCGATCACGGGCGCGAACTGTGGGAGCAGGACGGCGCCGGGTGGATTAGCCGCGTTTGCACGTCGCTTGTTCTTGTGGGCAGAGATCGCTTGCAGTCATGGCGGCCTCTCGAACCCCAAACGCTACAAAGCCTAAACTCAAGAAGTTTGAAGCTTGCCGAATGCGTATGCCTATCATTAGATCTCAGACTCCTGGAGAAACCTCTGTGTCGGAGTTCCCTCTGAGCAAAGGGTGCGGCACCCTCAAAGGGCTGCAAGTGTTGTCTACACCCCAAACGGCCCGAGATTCCAAACGATGCAGTAGGGTTGAGGGCTTAAGGTTTGTGAAGCACAGGGTTAGGGGCTCTCAGCCACACGAAGCCCACGTTTTGTGGGCCCTGGCCTACCACTCGTCTTCAGTCATCTCTAGTAGCATCTACGTGCATGTGAGCTAGATTCCAAACACCTTAACCCCAGTGAACCCTTAGCCCTTATCCCTACCCTAGACTCTGAGCCCGATTCTTGTTGTGTGAGCAAAGCTAAAACCCTTAACACTAAGCCCCGACCCGAAACCCTAAGACCCTAAAACCCCCAAACCATAAAATCCCAACACCCCCCCAAACCCTGAACCCTAAAACCCGAAACCCTAAAATCCCAACACCCCGCAAACCCTGAACCCTAAAACCCGAAACCCAAAAACCCCAACACCCCCCAAACCCTAAACCCGCCCAACCCCTAAAATCCCAAAACCCCCCAAACCCTGAATCCTAAAACCCCCCTCAAAAACCGCCCCCCTCCCCCACAGAGCTTCTCTTTCTTCTTCTTCTTTTTTTCTTTCTTTCCCCAAACCCCAAACTCCAAACCCAAATTTGAAGGAGCAAAAAACATTCCTTTCAGGGAGAGCGGGGCCAAGCTTCCCTCAAGCGGCTGCCAAGTGCGACCAGGTTGGTGGTGAAGGGGGCCCCCGAGGTCAGCCTGGAAAAGCTTCAGGGTTTAGGGGTTTAGGGTTTAGGGTTTAGGGTTTCCCTAAACCCTAAACCCTAAACCCTGAACCCTCCTAGCTTGCATGACTTCAAGGCTTGAATACCTCTCCAGCGCACCCTACGGTTTCAGGAGCTGACTTCGGGGGCCCTCAGCTTTGAGTCTTTTCGTGGTGATGTCGCCTTTGTGGGCTGAAGGGTTCACAGGGCTTATTTGGGTTTGGAGGCTTTACAGGGTGTTTTTAGGGGTTTTTGTAGGGCTTGCAGGGGTTTATGGGGTTTGCAGGCTCGGTAGGGTTTGTAGGGTTCATCGGTTTTTTCATGGTTTTTGGATGTTCAGGGCTTTGTGAGGTTTATAGGGTTTATAGGGTTGATAGGGTTTGGAGGGTTGAGGGTTTATCGGCTATCTTTACGGGTTGAAGGAACCTTTAGGGTCTACCAGGGGTTTCTAGGGTTGATCGGGTTTAGGAGAGTGTCGAGAGATTCAGACGACGTCACCACGAAGTGAACTTTGCTCTATGTCCAGCTCTCGCCACCGGAACGAGGCGCAGCAAGCCTAGGTTGGTTGTTGGGGACATTTTCTATTTTCCGTATCTTGGTTTATAACCCTATACATACATATATATTTTTTGTATTTATTTATTTTTTTATATTTATATATATATATATATATATAATTTATTTATTTATTTTTCAGAGGGTTTAGAGGCCAACCCAGAAGGGTTTCGATTCTAGGGCTCAGGCTTGCCCAAGCGACGATGGACGGAAGGGTTTGGGGTGTAGGGTTTACCGCTGTTTGCTTAAGAACCCCCAAAAAAAGCAAGATGATAGTCCCTACATTACCCTTATAAGGAAGACTATGTTTATTCTTGGGGGGGATTCTTAAACAAATGGTAGTTTAGGGTTTAGGGTTTGGTTTGGAGGCAGGGTTGCCCGATCGAAGATGGATAGAGGTCGAGGGGTTTCGGCCTCAGGGCTTCGACTCTGTTGCTCCGTGAAGCAGTATGAAGCATAGCACACGGGGTGCATCACAAGCCTAACCCTAAACCCTGCTAGGATTTAGGGGCTGTAAAATCCACGCATGATGCCTTAGAGTTCATATGAAGTTCGCAGCATGGCAACTTTTGCTCAGCAGTCGAGCAAGCAACCGTTAACTTCTATGCTCACTTAGAAACGAGGGTTGATTTGGACAGAATGGTGAATTTCCGCGTTTAGGGCTTTTTAAGGGCTTGGGGGGGGGTTAGGATTTTTGGGGTTTACATCATCCTTCCTGTACATTAAGACTACGTGTGCTCGGCCCCTCAGTGAAGCTGCTGCCAGTTTACTCTCGAACCTGAGCTGGTCATGGAGAGTTGCGCAAGGGACCATTGATGGGCCCGGAGCACCCAGGGTGGGATGTGGAGGAGGGCTTTCAGGGGGGGTCGGGGCTTCTAGGCGAAGGCCAGAAGAACATCTGACGGGTTCCTTATGCCCAAGATGATTGAGACCTTTTGTATAAGGCAACAGGGTCTCTCTTGAAATATGTCCCTACGGTGTGGAACACGTGTGAATGTTTGTCCGGCATGGTTCCCAAGAGGTTTAGGGAGTAGGGTTTAGGGTTTAGGATTTAGGGTTTAGGGTTTAGGGTTTAGGGAGCGTTTGAGAGCTACCTGCGTGATCCGGTCCAGCACATGGCGTTTCACCGTTAGTGAGGATTCGCTTGACTCTCCGCGATGGGCGCCGTCCACTCACAGCACATTCTCGAATACCCTGTGCCAGCTGCGCCCTCAACCTTACATCGAAAACCTGCATGAGCCTCTACAGAAAGTTGGGCCTCAGAAGGCAAGCAGAAGCCCGACGGAGATGCGAGGGCTCCCATGTAAACGCACATGAAGTCACCTAAACTGGAAGGTTGCTAACAAGGCGCTCGCTGACCGGAGCAGTTGAGCCAGTCTGGCATAGACGCAGAAGACGGAGCATGACTGGGTGTTGCTCAGCAACGTGGCAACGTGAACGAAATGTCACACCGCACAACACGGGAGTCTAAGCAGCTACCAAGATCATCCCCTGCAGAATCCTACCCATGTCTGAGTGTCTAGCTACCTTTCTGCCCACCTTTCTGTCTATCATCTATGTCTCTGTCCGTGTTGTTGTGTGTACTTGTTCCATAAGCTACATCCAACCCATTCTAGTTACATAGGCCCGGATATTACCCCCCCAAGAGCAGCGCTTGACCCCCCCAGCCCAAACCCCTCCTTAGTTGAGGGATGTGGGAGCGCTCCCATAAACCTTTAACAACCCCGTTTAAAAAACTCACTCCAGAAACATAGATGAAGTGTAGGGCTTGGGGCTGATGTGGAAGAACTTTGTCTCATGTCTACCGGGCCCAAATCCCCATGCAGCCCAATAGTCTACCGAAATTTCATCTGTTACAGCCCTAGACCCTAAACCCTAAACCCTAGACCCTAAACCCTAAACCCGAAGTGCCCCAGAAATCCACCCCAGCATGCCGGTGTAGGGCGACCCGGACGGCGGCTCTGTGGGCTCTGAGCGTCCAAGTTTGCTCCAACCGGTTGCCGTCGAGCCGCCCCCCTTTTTTCCCTTGCCTCTTGGTAGGCCAGTGGTACCCTTTACCCTTTTTGTTGGGTTCTGGGTTCCCTTACACAGTAACCAACCCAAACAAGGGTGCCCTTTCATTTTTTGAACATGGCTACTGGGCCCCCCCGTTTCTTGAAATAGGGGGGCCCTTAAACGGCAACCCTTCTGAACGGGCTTCTTAACCCTCTTCTGGCTCTCTTAAACAGGGACCTTATTCAGAGGGTCTATATCCCCAAGGATCCCCCTAATCCTATCCCCTAGCTACCTTTTTTTTGAATATGGGCGGGTGTACGAAAATAGGGGACCCTTAATGTAGACCCCAAGTAGTTATAGTAAGGACCCCAGAAGGTACCCCTAATATCGTAAACCCCCATATCTGGGCTCCTGGGCCCTAAACCCTAAACCCTAAACCCTAAACCCTAAACCCTAAACCCTAAACCCTACTTGGGCCACCCCAAGGTCACACCATGGCTCCCAAGTGCGCCGCCCTGGCCGCGGGCTCCGCCGCCGTGGTCCTCCTGGGCGCGCCGGCCTTCACCGCCAGCCCGGGCGTGGCCCTTCGGATCGCGCTTAAATTAGCAACTCCAAGGGTGTTTGGGGTTTTGGGGTTTAGGGTTTTGGGGTTTAGGGTTTTAGGGTTTTAGGGTTTAGGGTTAGGGTTTAGGGCATGGTCCGCCGGATCGCGCTTAAAGCAAGTCCAAGGGTGTTTAGGGTTTTAGGGTTTAGGGTTTAGGGTTTTAGGGCTTTCAGGGTTTAGGGTTTTAGTGTTCAGGGTTTGAGGGTATTGGGTCCCAGCCCCCCCTCCTCCTCCCAATTAACTTTGGCACAAGAGGAGCATTCTCTAAAGGATTCTTGAAAGAAACGCCACATGCAAGAAAGAAACTCCTTCAGACGCAGCTCCTTCAAAGCTAGGATGTGACGTTACACCTGAGTAATTTCGTTGCATCTTGTAGTAACTGACAGCTCACACTCCTACACTCGCAGACCCAAGCGCAAGCACCGAAGGCCAACGGCCACGCCGCGCCCACGCGCGGCTGCGGCCAGGGCCCTCAGGGGCCCCTGGCCGCCGGACCCGGCGTCGCGGCCTCCGCAGTGGGGCTGCTGGCGCTGGGCGCCGCCGCCAGCCGCGCCAAGAAGGTGACGAGAGGGGGGTTTAGGGTGTAGGTTTAGGGTTTAGGGTGTAGGGTTTAGGGTTTAGGGTTCGTGCTCGTGTGTCTCTGTGTGTCGGTGTGTTTGTCTACGTCTTTTTGCTGCGTGTTTTGTTGGGTAGGCGAGAGCGGGCCTCGACCTCCCTGTCCTTTAAGCTTTTCAAGGGACGCGTTCTACCCGCCTTCTCGTCATGTACAGGTCCTCGGCCTCCTGAGTGTCCCATGTTCACGCTCAACTTCAACTCACAACTCTTCAAAGTATGGAAGATGCGCACCCTCAAGCACCATGCCTCAAAGAATCCCGGACCCATAACTGCCTAAACTGCCTCTTAGCCTCTCGAAAGGCTGCTGGAAAACCCCTGGTCCCCCTTCAGGTGGCTCGGGCCGCGGTGCTGACAAAGGACGACCAGGGCCGCTTCCGCTTCGACGCGCCCGAGGTGCCCCTGGTGCCGCAGGAGCTCAAAGGGGTTCAATACGGGGCTTGGAAGGGTCTTATGGGGTGTCCAGGGCTCTTTGTCTACTTTTTTAAAGGGTTTTGGTTCAAAGGGGTTTTGAAGGGTTTATGGGGTGTATTTCGGGTTCTTTATCTAGTCTTGTTCTTAGGGCTTTTAGGGAGCTTTTGTAGGGGTTGTAGGGTTTCTAGCGGCTTCCTAGGGTTGTTGTAGGGCTTTCGCAGGGCTTTGCAGGGCTTCGGCTCAGTGAAGCTTCCGCATCCCAAAAAAAAAAACTAAACCCTAAACCCTAAACCCCACCTCCCTCTCTCAAAAGTCTTGGTTTTTTGGCCTCCTCTCCGTGCCAGGAGCAGCCTGGTGCCGTCGCACCCCTGGGCTTCTTCGACCCCCTCAAGTTCAGCTCCAGCGGCCTCATGACCCTTGGGCCCCGACTTTTTGTATATCTTCCACGAGTCCATTTTTTGTGTCTATTTCAGAGGATCACCTATTCTATCACTTCGTTTTGAAATTGGGCTTAAGAGGATCAGGTTCAGGAATATACTTTCAGAGGGCTTAGGGTTTAGGGTTTCGGGTTTAGGGTTTAGGGTTTAGGGTGGCTGTTTAATCCCAGGACCTTCCCGGGAGACTCCACCGGCTTCAAGCATCTTCGCGCAGCGGAGATCAAGCATCCCGGGGCTGCTTAGGGTTTAGGGTTTAGGGTTTAGGGTTTAGGGTTTAGGGTTTAGGGTTTGGGGCTGTTCAGTCGGCTGCCGTTTTCTTCCTTTGCCGTACTCGGGTGCTCTTCTGACAACCCTACGAAGTAGCCTGAAACAAAGCACATCATAGACCTTAAACCCCTCCCAACTCACAGTAGCTGGGTAGGTAAACTTTCGGGGCATAGAACTGAAAGGCTACCCTAAACCCCTAAACCCCTAAACCCCTCAACCCCTAAACCCCTAAACCCCTCAAGCCCTCAACCCCTCAACCCCTAAACCCCTAAACCCCTAAACCCCTAAACCCTAAACCCTTTTTTGGGCCCAGGGGCACCTCCGCAACTAGGATTCTAAGCAACCCAGGCACGGCAGGTTTGCCATGATGGCGGCCGTCGGCTCCGTGTACCTTGGTAGCCCACTGGTACCCTTTACCCTCTTTTTTGGGTTTTAGGGTTTAGGGTTTAGGGTTTAGGGTTTAGGGTTTATGGGCCCTTCTTGTAGTATGGTTACCGGGGCTACCAAGGTACGCGCACTTCTACAAGATCCCCGGCTTCGAGGATGTGCCGACGGGCCTCGCGGCTCTCCAGAACGCCAAGGGCCTGGAAGCTCGGTGGGCCCTAGGGTTTAGGGTTTAGGGTTTAGGGTTTAGGGTTTAGGGTTTAGGGTTTTTCTCTATGCTTGTGGCTAAATCCCTTGCTTTCGGTCTGGGATACGTCTTGTGTTTAAAATGAATTTTCCTTTATTTGGAGGCTTCAGAGGATCATACTTGGAGGATGTTTGTACTTTCCGTTTTTGGGGGGGCTAAGAGGATCATATTTAGGAACATCTGCTTCGAAAGGTTTTCTGTGCCAACTGAGGAAGGCTTCTCGCTCCTTCTCTTCTTGATCGCCGGCCACGAGGCATGCTGTAAAAGGGGAAACTACTGAGCAGCACCGCAGTTACTAGAGGCCATAAGGAGCCATGTAGTACTTGCAGAGGCCTGTATAAGTAGGCCGTTACAACCCAAGATGCGCACGAATTTTACCCTACTTATAAGTTATCACCCTACTTTGGGGCTTTAGGGTTTAAGGTTGCTCCCAAATCTGACTGCTCTGCGAAATGTTTGAAGGATCAGGGATTTTAGGGTTTTAGGGTTTAGGGTTTAGGGTTTAGGGTTTTAGGGTTTAGGGTTTAGGGGGTCCTTACAGTATGGGTTATAAAGGGGACCCGAAAAAAGAGCTACTCCCATTTTCGGGCGCCCGCATGAACCTCCAAGTAGCTGCGAGGCGGTGACCTGGAAGCCCGTCAAGGAGCCCGGCAGCTTCGGCGACCCCTTCAAGTGGAACCAGTACACCCCGGAGATGCGCACCAAGGCGCGGAGAGGGAGCGGTTTAGGGTTTAGGGTTTAGGGTTTAGGGTTTAGGGTTTAGGGTTTAGGGTTTAGGGTTCGCGGGGAGGGAGCGCCTCAAGTTTGTTGGGCCCGGTACTGCCTTCCAAAGTTGAGTAGACCTGCTTGCAAGAAGCCCCACTCACCATGAATGTGTGAGAAACCCGGCACTAGATGCCGCCCTAAACCCTAATCTTAAACCCTAAACCCTAAACCCTAAACCCTAAACCCTAAACCCTAAACCCTAAACCCTAAACCCTAAACCCTAAACCCTAAACCCTAACCCTAGATCCCGGTACACCCTGAGACGTTTAGCAAGCATCGATGTCATGTTCGTGTGGCCAGGGTGGCCCTTGGAGCCCTCCAGTGCACAAGGGTGTGGGGTTTAGGGTTTAGGGTTTAGGGTTTAGGGTTCGCGGGGAGGGAGCGCTTCAAGTTTGTTGGGCAAAGTTGAGTGGACCTGCTTGCAAGAAGCCCCACTCACCATCTTAGAATGTGTGAGAAACCCTGCACTAGATGCCGCCCTAAACATTAAAACCCTAAACCCTAAACCCTAAACCCTAAACCCTAAACCCTAAACCCTAAACCCTAACCCTAGATCCCGGTACACCCTGAGACGTTTAGCAAGCATCGATGTCATGTTCGTGTGGCCAGGGCGGCCCTTGGAGCCCTCCAGTGCACAAGGGTGTGGGGTTTAGGGTTTAGGGTTTAGGGTTTAGGGTTCGCGGGGAGGGAGCGCTTCAAGTTTGTTGGGCAAAGTTGAGTGGACCTGCTTGCAAGAAGCCCCACTCACCATCTTAGAATGTGTGAGAAACCCTGCACTAGATGCCGCCCTAAACATTAAAACCCTAAACCCTAAACCCTAAACCCTAAACCCTAAACCCTAAACCCTAAACCCTAACCCTAGATCCCGGTACACCCTGAGACGTTTAGCAAGCATCGATGTCATGTTCGTGTGGCCAGGGCGGCCCTTGGAGCCCTCCAGTGCACAAGGGTGTGGGGTTTAGGGTTTAGGGTTTAGGGTTTAGGGTTCGCGGGGAGGGAGCGCTTCAAGTTTGTTGGGCAAAGTTGAGTGGACCTGCTTGCAAGAAGCCCCACTCACCATCTTAGAATGTGTGAGAAACCCTGCACTAGATGCCGCCCTAAACATTAAAACCCTAAACCCTAAACCCTAAACCCTAAACCCTAACCCTAGATCCCGGTACACCCTGAGACGTTTAGCAAGCATCGATGTCATGTTCGTGTGGCCAGGGCGGCCCTTGGAGCCCTCCAGTGCACAAGGGTGTGGGGTTTAGGGTTTAGGGTTTAGGGTTTAGGGTTTAGGGTTTAGGGTTTAGGGTTCGCGGGGAGGGAGCGCTTCAAGTTTGTTGGGCAAAGTTGAGTGGACCTGCTTGCAAGAAGCCCCACTCACCATCTTAGAATGTGTGAGAAACCCTGCACTAGATGCCGCCCTAAACATTAAAACCCTAAACCCTAAACCCTAAACCCTAAACCCTAAACCCTAAACCCTAAACCCTAAACCCTAAACCCTAAACCCTAAACCCTAAACCCTAAACCCTAAACCCTAACCCTAGATCCCGGTACACCCTGAGACGTTTAGCAAGCATCGATGTCATGTTCGTGTGGCCAGGGCGGCCCTTGGAGCCCTCCAGTGCACAAGGGTGTGGGGTTTAGGGTTTACGGTTTAGGGTTTAGGGTTTAGGGTTTACGGTTTAGGGTTTAGGGTTTAGGGTTTAGGGTTTAGGGTTTAGGGGCACTAGGGGTTAGTCCCCGGGCTCACGGGGCTTGATTTGTGGTATCATCTAGGATGGATCATTCCGAACATCTTGGAAGCCCTTCGTTTCTGTGAGGTTAGTGTGTCACCAACATGGGGGGGTTTACGAAAATGAGGGACCCCGAATATAGACCCCCAAAGAGTATGATTCCCTTAGCATAAGGACCCCAAGAAGGCACCCCTAATTTCGAAACCACCACATATTCCGAGTATTGACCTCCCCTTGCTGCGCACTTCCCCCAAAAAGCCCAGTCCTCCAGGAGATCAACAACGGACGCATTGCCATGTTTGCAATCATTGGCCAGATTGTTGCTGAGCTCCAGACCGGCAAGGGACCAGTGGAGCAGTTTCTGAGTTCTTGAGACTTTTAAAGCTTCTGATGATACTGGGATGGACCCCCCTTGCTGCACCTTTTGTTGAGGGACTTCTGATACAAGTTATAGAACTTTAGCACCGAACTACCTGTAACTCGGGGCCACCTCCCGGCAGCATCTGATCCGTAGAGGGCCACGCCCATGCAAGCAAGCCTACTTTTCCGTTGCTTGCCAGCCGTGGGTGTGTCATGGGTCAGGCCGCCATCACATGCCATGCCAGCTGACGCAGCCCGTACATAATTCTAGAATTCCGGCAAGATGGGATCTGAGCACCCGAAACCCTAAAACTATAACAGCAAGGTCCCTTTGTGAAAGGGGCTCGTGGCATCGCGTGGCCTTTGTCAGATCTCGCAAGGAACCCTTTCAGATGCTCTAAGAAGTGATAGCCCCTGAGTTAAAGGCCCTGAACATCTCAAGGAGCCCACACAATTACTCTCTAGGCTACGCTGGCCCTGGCGATACGTTGGGACATTTCATGTTTCCCTTCTTGGATGTTACTGTTAAGTGATCCATGTAATGGAATAGTCTTTACGGATTAGGGTTTAAGGGCAAAGGGGGTGGAAGGCTTTGTAAGTTTACAAAACTTACTGTTCTGTAAGACCTAAGAATCTGGGATTTACTGACAGTAGCCAACACAAAAACCAATGAGGTAGTGGTTCACCCTAAGCCTTAAGCCTATCGTTCAACATGGCTGCGCCGCTGGCGGCAGGTGGGCCAATGATTTCAGACAGATCCGCTGGGCAAGTGCCCAACAGCCCACCGAGACATAAAAAGCCCCAAGGTCAAGCTTGAGCCCCTAAACCCTAAACCCTAAAAAAACAGGGTCCACGTGTTGTCTTCTTTCCCTTTCTTCAGTTCCACCGTATCGAAGTGCTTCTTGAGTCTTGGAGGCGAGATCTCCAAGCTGTGATTACGCCACGGCTCAAAGTGCCCTAGGAGTCGAGAGCCCACAAAATTACTAGCTGCAGGGGGTCGGTCTGAGGCGGCGAGTGGCCAAACCCAAAACGCTAAACCCTAAACCCTAAGCCCTTTCATTGCCTTCAGGGAAGAAGCCCAAGGTCCTGACGAGGAGCACAGGAGGCTAAGCATCGAGGAGGCTAAGCAGCTAGGGCCTGGGCCATGATTCCCCCAGAGAACCTCGTTGATTCTCTCAGTTGAGAACCTAAACCTCTTTTTGACCAGGATGCGTAAGAAACTTACAAGGGCTTGCAAAACTATATCCTGCCAAAAAGACGGCTTTGGGTTTCTGAATGTACTCCTGAACACGATCACGAGCGTACTGAATTTGCGTGATGCCGACGTGGTTCATGGGTGCTTTGGCTCCAAAAGCGTGAAAAACCACACGCTTGCAGCAAACGACCTTGAGTTTAGGCCTCCGCGTTTCTGACTCAGGCCGAAGTATTCCCAATGACAAGCAAGCTTATGTCCCCAACCCTCGGTATACTCTAGCCCTGCTTAGCCCTCATAGCCCATGCTTCTCACAGAGTTGCCATTGGAATGCTTAGCTTCAGAGTTTTCAGGCTCAGCTCCAGGCATCCAGTCTCCAAGACTAGTACCCTGGTCTCTGGCAACAGCCATGACGGTGACGGCGCTTGCGGCTGTGTTCCTGGCCTTGGCCCCACGCACTGCCTCATTCGAGGCCCTGAGAAGCATGGACCAGGGTCCCTTCTCTAGCATATGGTCCCTTTTGGGGTCCTTATTATCAGGCCCTCGTATTCAGGCTACCCAACAAGGAACCATGATTTATAGAGCTGAGCAAATGAACGGATTAAGGTTCCTAACCACTCAAGGCGGCAGGAGTAGGGAGCCACGACACCGAAAAGCAATCTGCCATCTTGTTCTTCTAGAGCAACTCCTGGGCACAAGCTTGATTCTGGGACTTGCGTAGCCGCAGCAACTATGGCAGAACATCTGTTTGTTGTTTGTATTTGCTCTCTCGCTCTCTCTCTCTCTCTCTCTCCCTCTCTCTGTCTCTTTCTTTCTCGTCCGTGCTCTTGAAATACATATATACATATATATTATGCATATAGTTACATTTATATAATGCTGTATACGCACATCTCTGGGCCTGGATTTCATATCGTCTCCGCACTTGAAACCAAATCCGAACCATGAACCCTACACCCCCCGGAGTCCTAGCAATATACTCTTACTCTTCATACTATATTCATACTATATTCATACTATATTCATACTATAGTGCTATTCTTACGATCATGATACTCCGGAGTCCTGCACCCTTAGCCTGAGCGTAGGGGCTGAGCGACGCAGGTTCTCTATGCGGGTGCTCCCCGATCAGGGACGCAGACCATGTGCCTTGCTCCACTTAGGCTAGACACGATCAGGGCATCGCATCATGCGGAGTGGGCCTTCACATAGTTGTTGATCAGAAGGAGGGCTTTGGGGTGGTGGTCGGAGGCTGAGCGGCCTCGGCTGCTGTTGGTCTGAAGGCTATCGTCCTACCTAAACCTTAAACCCTAAACCCTAAATCGATAGAACCTTATGACTTAGCACCCTAGATAACCACCCTGGAACCGGCGGTAAAGGCTCTGAAAAGCCGGCCCGGCATTGTAGATTCGTAGACCTGGCATTCCGTTGCGAACTCTGTGTGTGTGTGTGCGTGTTTTTTGTTGCAGATCGACTCTTTAAAGGCTTGGCACAAAGGTGTGAAGATGTCTGCTGAACCCTAAACCTTCACCCACCCACCCCCGCCCAACCCCCCCCCCAAAAAAAAAAAACAGCAAAAGACAATGCAGGTATTCGGCTCTGAAGATCATGGGCTTGAACCCGATTCATTCTGGCTACAACTTGACAACGCGGCCCATCCTCTGCGAATACCTCTATGGCCACCCGGCAGCTTAGGGTTTCTGAGGTTTAGGAACGAATGTTGAGTTCAACAAGGGGCCAAGAAGTCCCGTCTTAAACCTCTTTAAAGCCCATACGCATTCGCCACCAGCCAGCGCCTTGGTCCAACCTGTGTAGGCGGCCTTAGAAGATCCTACGCAAAAGCGTGGTTCCAAAATTGTTCTGGGCCCAAGCTAGAGTCTCAGCCAGTCCCAGGAAATGGCTCCAAGGAGGCGGCCATGAACCTTTTTGCAAGTGCAGATGCGGCCATGGATGAGCCTTTCCAGCTGATGTATGAGGCGACTGGGCACCTCCCACCAAGTGCTTAACAAGATTCCTTCCTGCATAGAAACGGGTAGGCCTTTGCGGTGAAGTTTCCGAGGGCGGCCCAGGTCATGGAATGTCAGAGTTCAGCCCAGACATGGGGCCCATGACCAAAGGCCAAAAGTCATACAACAAAAAAGCAAGGAACGCGAAGAAGTATGGGGGCCGTTGGCTTGTGTCTGTGTTGGACCACGCAGCCATGCCAGGACGTGCTCAAGGAGTTCCCCAACGCGAAGGCGGGCAAGGGGCGGTCTGAGAGGGGCCTGGGCTTAGGGGTTGGACTCTGCGAACGTTGCAAGTGCACAGCTCAAATCAAATCGCCTCAACAGGCAAACAATTCTGGTACATGTTCCTCATCGTGCAAGACACCAGACACCGGCCATCATCTAGAAGAGCCCCCAACACATAGGGGTTAGAAGTATGGGCTCGAGGGATTAGGTTCTTTGGGCGTTCAGGTTTAGGGTCCCTAAACCCTGAACTCTACGCTCTTCACCCGTGCACCCTCTCGTCTAAGCCCCTAATTTGAATATATATATATATATATACAAGGGGGTATCCTAATCAGGGCCCATTCTAAGGGACCGTGTAATATGCCTTAGATCTCAAGATTCGTGCCAGGTCGTCCTGCCAGTCATGTCCGCGGAAGACTGGTACGTGTCGGAGCGGACCCTCGATCAAATACTGCCTGTGAGTCCTCATGAGGGGTTTACGAAAATAAGGGACCCCCACTATAAACCCCCAGATAGTAGGATTCCCATATAACCACCCTAATAAGGTACCCCCTACGTTCGTGCATTGGGAGCTAGCAGTTGAGAACTTTAAACTTCTTGGGGAAGTGTTGAATGAGGCAGCAGGTCTCACGCCTTCTCGCCGGGGACTTCGCTTTGCACAGGGTGCGCTTTCCACTTCTGGGGGGTTCTGTCTGTTAGTAGGAGCCATCAAGTTAAAGCGCTTTGGGGTTTCTGTATTGGCTAGGAGTAATGCCCTAAACCCTAAACCCTAAACCCTAAACCAATGAGGTAGAAGCTTTGTCCGAAGGTCAGGTCTTTTGGGCTTGCTAGGATCCGCTCAAGGGCTCTTTAAGCTAGTAGCTTGCCCCTTGAAGAGGCGACGAGGCTTACAGGGGTTAGGATTCTTAGGGGGTTTAGGGTTTTGGGTTTAGGGTTTAGGGCTGAAGGTAGGGGCCCCTTCGGCTCATCAACGTGAAAGCAAAGGAATGGCCCCCAGCCTTCCCTCTAGAACGCCCAAATCCCTAGGCCCTCAACCGATGAGTTCCGACACTTTGGTTTTGAAAAGGGTTTTTTTTGGTTTGTCCCCGATGCGGGGACACGCCGGCTTTCGGGTCAAGGGTCGAGCTCAGCGCTCAAAGCCGGTTTAGGGTAAGGTTTCGGGTTTGGCCCGGGTTTACTGGAGTGACCAAGAAGTTCAGGGCTTGGGGTTCAGATTGGGAACTTCCTTGCTAGAACGGGTCCCAAAGCAGGGGCGGCCCTACTTTTGAACGGCCCCTCGTGCGCTGGAAGATGAGCCCAAAGCCCTCTCAAACCCCCTCGCCTACACCCCTAAACCCTAAACCCTAAACCCTAAACCCTAAACCCTAAACCCTAAACCCTAAACCCTAAACCCTACACCCTACACCCTAAACCCTAAACCCTAAACGACGAAGGAACTACTTCAAGGACACAGTCTATGCAGTGGAGCGCGTGGTGGGCCATAATGGGAACCTAACTAGGTCATTAGCCTTAAGTCATACCTTAATCATTTGAATGGGGTTTTGGGGAGGTTATTATAGTCTATTTGTAAAGGGACCATGAGGGAAGACCATTAGTAATCATTCCGACCCCTATGTTATTTAATAAGGAGGTGGTTACTTGGCGTTGATTTTCGAAGCAAAAAGGCATTCTGTGGGGATGAGATTGGTGCGCGCCTTTGAGGCTCCTGCAGCATGCCTAAACCCTAAACCCTAAACCCTAATCCCTAATCCCTAAACCCTAAACCCAAACCCCGAAGCCCTCAAAGCCCGAAGTAGCTCTGAGTTGGTAATGGTTCCTCACATCGCCTTACTTGGTGTTCTCATGTTTTAAGTCTACTGCTTCTTGAACTTACCGGAGCTCTTAGGACCACAACAACTCTAAGTCCTAAACCGCCCCTAAACCAAGTCGAGGTCCCTTTAGGGTTTAGGGTTTAGGGTTTAGGGTTTAGGGTTTAGGGTTTAGGGTTTAGGGTTTAGGGTTTAGGGTTTAGGAGGCCCCTTTCTTTGCAGGCAAGGGACGTACTCGGAGGCATATGGGTTTCTAGAAGTCGGGTTACACGTAGGGTCATTCTGCCATATCGAGGGTACTTCGAACCCCACTTCTAGCTGCCCACTTGCCTCCAAGTATACCCTCGAGGTGAACACTCATATCCCCTTTTCTGGCCCTGATAACCCTCAACCCGAAGCCCTAAACCCTAAACCCTAAACCGTCATTCTACTTTTGACCCAAGGGAAGGGTTCAGGGTTTGGGGTTTGGGGTTTAGGGTTTCGGGTTTAGGGCTACTGCGTGCAGGCGGTCGAAGTCGCCCACGGTCTAAAGATCCGGCGGAACACCAGCTACGAGTTCTTTGATGCAATGTGGGAGAGCATGAGCCTCGGCTCTCAAAAAGGGTTTAGGGCCTGTTAGGGTATAGGGTTTAGGGCTTAGGGTTTAGGGTTTAGGGTTTAGGGCCCTTTTTTAGGGGTTTAAGGGTTCTGGGGTTTTGGGGTTTTGGGGGCTTCTCAAAAACTTGGTAGCCCAGTGGTACCCTTTACCCTTTTTTTGGGTTCTGGGCTCCCTTATAAAGTAGCCGGGTGCCCTTATTATAATATCTGGGCTGGGGGGGTTAGAGGGGTTTAGGGCCTGCTTTTTTAGGGCCTGTCTAGAGGGGGTTTAGAGGGGTTTAGGGCCTGTGGGGTTTAGGGGTTTAGTTAGTGGTTGAGGGGTTTTGGGGTTTTGGGGTTTAGGGCCTGTTTAGGGCCTGTTTTGGGGTTTGTGGGGTTTTGGGATTTAGTGGTTGAGGGGGTTTAGGGGGTTTTGGGGGTTGTGGGTGTTTAGGGGTTTCGGGGTTTAGGGGTTTGGGGTTTAGGGGGTTTAGGGCCTGTTTAGGGGTTTAGGGGTTTAGGGGTTTAGGGGTCACAAAGGGTTTAGGGCCTGTTTAGAGGGGGTTAGGGTGTTTAGAGGGTTTAGAGGGGGTTTAGGGGGTTTAGGGCCTTTTTTGGGGTTGTGGGGATTGGGGATTTAGTGGTTGGGGGGGGGGGGGGGGGGGGGTGTTTTGGGGGTTTTGGGGGGTTTAGGGGTTTTGGGGGTTTAGGGGTTTAGGGGTTTCGGGTCCTAACCGAATGCTCTTAGCCTGCCAGCCATGTCCCATGTTTTGTGCTTTCAGGCTCTGACGGGGTTCAGGGTTTAGGGTTTAGGGTTTAGGGTTTTGGGATGTTCTAGGTGTTTGTCGACACGTTCCCTGCCGGCAGGCCTTCAGTTGCACTCACATTTTTGTGATGGGTTGGGGGACTGTAGGGTTTTAGGGCTTTAGGGTTCTAGGGCTTCAAGAGCTTTTAGTGCCTTATTTGGGGCTTCAAGAGGTAGGGCTTAGGGTTTTCGGAACGCTGTGGCCCCAGGTACTCGTCCACCCTCACCGCAGACAAATGCTGGGCCTGCAGGTACTGGGGCTGCGCCTTCTGGAAAGTGGAGGGCCCCTCTGGAACAAAGCTATGTGTGTAAGGCTTTGAGCTTTGGGCTTGGGGCTTAAGGTTTAGCATTAGGGTTGAGGAATTGGCCTTACATCCTAGACCCTACACTTAAGCCTCTTTCCGACACCTAGAATGTCTTCGACCCGATTCCGCACAGAGCCCTCAGGCCCGAACTCTAAACCCCTTCTTTAGTACAGTTAGGGCTGCAGGCTTTGGGCCTCCTTGAGGATCCCCTTCAAAGGATATCTACTTTGCAAGGAGCGGCTGGATCCTGAATTTACCTCAGCACCCCAGAACCTGACATAAATCCCTCAACCCTAAATCCCAAGCCCTAAACCCAGGTATGACTCCCGAGGAGAACCGGACGTGCCTTAACAACTATGAGGCCCGTTGGGGCTGCCTCCTCCCCCCCTCCCTCCCCCAACACGGGGTTTAGGGCTTAGACCCTCTGACGAGGATGCCCAGTGGAACTCGGTTTCCGCTCTTTTGCTTTTCGTCTTTACCTGTTTTTTTTTTGTGTTTTTTTCCTTGGGCCGGGGAAGGGGGGGAGGGGGGTGGGGGGGGGGGGGGGGGGTCGGTCCCCAAGAAACTCCATGAAACAAAGATGCCATATGTAACCCCCCTCTTAGTATCAACAGCCCACCCTCTCATGGCAAGTAGTTGCTTTGCTTTGCAATGTGAGCAGTGGGTTTCCTAGCCCACCGAGGCACCGGACTTCTGGCGCTTGAAAATTCATGGGCAGTCAAAATTAGGCTTATGACTCCCCTTGAGAAGGTGATGTAGTTGTGTAGATGCATGTTTATGTATATACACATATATGTTTTCTTGTTTATGTGGGTATGGCAACTGTTGTCCCGCTCTCTACCACTACTTATAGCTACCTGTAACTAGCCACGAACCTTCGAGCAACACAGGGCTTAGGGAAGGCAACTATGGTTACCAACCTGAACCTCAACAACCTACACTCTAAGCCTTGTGCACTCTCTTCAAACCTGACACAGCATCCCTGGCACCATCATATCCCCCGGAATCTGAACGCCCCCTTCCCAACAAAGCAGAGCATCCCCCAGGATTTTATGTACCAAGCAATATCTGCGTACATATCAGGAGGGGCTAAGAAAGGGGGGAGGGGAGGGGCCACCAGCAATAGAGCCCACCATGAAGTCCTTCAAGACCGACACCAGGCGCACATGGACCGCGTAAAGCTGCTTGCTTGCAACGTCCCAGGGGCTTAGGGGGGGGGGTTTAGGGCTTTCCCGAAAGCACGCGAAGCTCATGCTACTCCAGCCTTCCCAGATACGCACCCCCCTTAAGCCACCCTGTAGCCTGAGCTCACAGAGCCTAAACTCCCCAAAACCTCTCAACCCCCTCGCCCCTAAACTCTACAGCCTCAACCCCCTCAACCCCCCTCAACCCCCTCAACCCCCTCAACCCCGCACTCGACTCCAAGGGCCCTGGTGCCCCCATCACGGCTCTTGGTCTTCAACTTCTCGGAGCCTCGGGCATGGATTCTGGTAAGGGGGGGAAGGGGGGAAGGGGGGGGGGGGGGTGCGGTTGAGGGTTTCGGGCTCAGGGTTTTGGATTCTTGTAGGGGGTGGGGGGTGGGGGGGAGGAATTGGGATCTAGGAAGTGAAAGGCGGAAGTTTCGGGAATTGGGGGGGGGGGGGGGTTTCGGATCAAAGCGGTTTGGGAGGAGGCCCTCAGATGTTTTTTGGTGTGAGGATTTTGAAGAGACCCGAGGGCCATATGGGCCCAGGTGTCATCAATTGATGTGGGCGTTGGGGGCTTTATCGGCTCATGCAGAGTACACCTCTAGGATGCCCAGTAGTACCCTCATTCCCTTTTGGGGTTTAGGTTCCCTTATAAACCCCTTTAAGCAAAAAAGGGCACCCTTTTGAAGCCTAGGTTACTGGGCAGTCTCGACCTAATACCCTTTAACCCTAACACCCTTTTGTGGGGGGCGCGGCTCAAATCTCAGGATGGCTGGGCACCTCTGAGCCATTTTCTTGGGCGGCCCGTGCCCGACGAGCCCTTCCCCTACACGGACAAGTACAACAAGGACTCCCCGTTGTAGTTTCAGGGGGTATTTGCCATGTGAGGGTTCTGCTTCCACTCAGCCATCCAACCTCACAGTTTTGGAGCAAGCTCCTCGGGTTGCGCGTTGGAGAACGGAATTTCATCCCGCCCGGCAACCCTTCTAAAGCTGCTGCAAGCCCTACATGCCAAGCGGCACCTTCCCAAGTTCCACTGGAAGTGCCAGGATGTCGCTGAGGAGACGGAGGCGCATGCCGCCAGTTTCCTGCAAGATGGAATGGACATCTTCCCAACACCACGCCGAAGTGAGTTGTAGAGCTCTGCGCGTGTGGGTTTTCAGAGCCTCCGAACATGAAACGCGCGATCGTCCCAGCAGGTGCCCTGTAAGAGTCCATCGTCTGGGGATGGAAACAAAAGCTGTGCGTGCAATAGGTAGGGTAATTCTAGTTTGTAAAATGACTGTGACACTGTCCTGGGTACTTCTCACCCCACGTACTAGTAAACATGAACCTTCAAATAGTCCCTAAACCCCATACCCTTTTCTCTCGTGCTTCAGTGGACGAATGCCAAGAGGGCACTTTTTTCTTCTTAGAGGTGCACTCCGCCCAAGCTCCCTAACCCTAAACCCTAAACCCTAAACCCTAAACCCTAAACCCTAAACCCTAAACCCTAAACCCTGTGCTTCCTTGCGAAGAGCCTGGTGTTGCTTTCGGCTCTGCAGCGCAGTGAGCAGCTGGCCACCAGCTCACAAATGCTCGCTGAAGCCATGGTGCTTTTTTGAGAGAGAGGGACGTAAGCTGCCATCAATTCTCTCTGCGTACGGGTTACTTCTTCTCAGCCCAGCTACTTCTCAGCCCAGCAGTTCAAATAATGAAAGCTTCAACACCTCAGAGATTGTGGCAAAAGGAGGTCTGAAGTAGATAGGCAATGGCAGCAGACCCGCAGTTTGTGCGACACTTGGCCGCAAAGCTCAATGGCCGCGCCGCGCTGCGGCACCGCCCGAAACCCCACAAGCCCCGTAAGATGAAGAAGTCCCGGAAACCCCCACAAGCCCTCCTTGATGCGTCACCCCGGCTTTTCCCTCCTCCTCCCCTACCCCACCTGTAAGGGGTACTTGAAATTAGGGTTTCTTTCGGATCTTGGGTTTTAGGGTTTACCCCCTGCCGCACATGGGCGGTGGTTAGGATGAGGGTTTAGGGTTAGAGTTTTTTGGGCCTTTCTTTTTTTAGCCTGGAAGCCTTCAACCCTAAACCCTAAATTTGGGGTACCCCAAAAAAGCTCCTCAAACCCCAAGGTGTGGTGCCAGACCCCAGCGGGGAGGATGGGTCGCCTAACACAGGCGACCTTGCAGCTGGGGCGGCCCTGGGGGGATTTTGTTGTGGACCTCTAGGGGCTTTGACCGGTTTGTTGGTGTGTTTTAGGGGTTTGTGAGGGTGCAGGATTCATGGGCTTCAGGGCTTTTACGGCCTTAGGGTTTAAACTTTACAGCTTCTGATCGCCCGCAGCAGCAGCGCAAATCGGGGTTCTTGCCAGGATTCCAAGTGCACTAGAGACTTTAGGTGAAGGGCTTCGGGGTTGAGGACACAGGGTTCGAAGTTCAACGACCTGTTTCACCTTCCAGCTCCACAGTTGCCCCCCACCACCAAACCCGAAGCCTCCGTTTAATACCCTGAACCCGGTTTGTGTTTTTGATGTTCGCTCTGGCATGCTCTAGTTTCGGGACTAGGAGGGGCGCTGACCGGGGGGAGCTTTGTTTGTTCATGATCGAACCGCCTCAAACGCACCCACAAGGCCCAATTCTTGAAAGTCAGTTAGAGAGCTAGAAGTCATGTCTAACTCGCTTGGGGATGTAAAAAGTGTATTGCGTTCATGATGGTTCCAAGGGGAGGGGAAAAAAAAACCTGCCCTTCGGTTCCCAGTCTGGGCCCCCGGCCAAGCCCAGAAGCGTCCAGCCCGCAAAATGGGGGGCGAGCTAAGTCATGGGGCGTTTCTTAGGGGCAGGGGGGGGGTTCCATTCCACAGTCTAGACTACCGTTCCTCGTATCTCCTAAACTACCAAAACAGGGCCAGGGCTTTATTACACGGTCTAGAGATATCCATCCCCAAAGTTCCGGATACCAAAAACGAGCCCAGATTGTTGCTCAAACACCCCTAGCGCAAGCCGAGGTACAGTTCACAACTGCGCACCTTGGCTGAGCAGGAGTAAACCCTAAACCCTAAGTCTCCCTTAATCCCTAAACCCCTATGAAGGCCCCTTAAACCCGAATACCCCCTAAGCCCAAAACCCAGTCAAGCCACAAAAGGGGGTACTGCACTCTTCTGGGTCTGAGGTTGCGCGAAAGCTGGGGGGGAGGAGGGGGGCGGGAGGGGAGCTACCCTAGCTGAGGGTTACGGTTCTAGCACCAAGCCGTGGCTTAAGGGTTTAGAGGGTGGGTTAATGTGGGCTTGTAGGGTTTATAGGGTTTAGAGGGTCTCTAGGGTTTGTAGGGTTTGTGGTTTGTCGGCTTTATAGGGCTTATAGGGTTTAGGATTGAGGGCTGTGGGGTGTTGACGGTTTAGGGTTGTAGGGTTGTAGGGGGGCTGTAGGGTGGTTGTATGTTGTACTGGGCTTGAGGAGTGTGGAGTGTTCTGTGACAGGCTGCCAGCAGTCCTAGCTCAGGAAAACTTTCTTTAAAAAATGCTGAACCTAAATCCTAGACCATTTGTTTTCATGACACTCTGGAAGAGTATTCACAGCAATTCATTGTGATCGTTCTCAGGGGCAGTAGACATGTATGCCGAGGATTTATTTCGTGGAGGAAGATGAAGACTTCCTCGAAGTCGACATTATGCGTCTGGGAAACCTCCGGGGAACGGTCACTGTCGACTACTACACTGAGCCTCAGACTGTCAGTTTGAGGCTTTAGGGCTTCAGTGGTTTAGGCTTTAGGGATGTAGGGGGTTCGTTTTGAGGTTCAGGGTTACGCGACCTGCCTCGGCCGGGGCCTGCCCGGCGTGGGTGATAGGCTTTTGCGCTTTGAGAGGCTTGGTGCACTTTTTGGGACCCTGTTGTAGCACACCCCAAATGCGGGAGTGGTAAAACAAGCCAGCAAGGACAACGGCGGGATGTCGGGAATCGGGGGGCTGGGGCGGTGGGGGGCAAGATGCCCCCTGGTCCGAAACAGAGGAGCCAAAAGGATCAGCCAAGTTCGTGTCCACATCACGAATTCAAAGACGGACGAATCAACATCCTTCACCGACGTCTTCGCAAGCAAGAGACGTCCTCAAAGGCGGGAAAGAGATATAATGCATCATGACAAGGCCGCCCTGTCACTCCGGGAGTTCTTTGTCACCAGCCTGGCTTTGCTGTTGAAACTGTTGCCGAAATCAGGGTATAGGGTTTAGGGTTCAGGTTGATTAAGGGGGTTCAGAGTCTAGGGTTTAGTTTAGGGCTTAGGGCTTAGAAGGTTCCTCTTTGGTCCTCACCGCGTACATCCGAAGGTGGCCAGATCCTGCGCTCAGGCGCCCGAATCCCTCGACTTTATTTGGTCCGTCGTTTAGGGTTTAGGGTTTAGGGTTTAGGGGGTAAGGGTTGCCCTGAGCCTACCCCCAAAAGCACCAGTGGAAGCAGCACACCGCTGCGGGAAGCGCCCGCACAGCAGGCCTACTGCCAATACACGCAGAGTTGGCCATGATTCCCTTTTGTGGGGGGGTTGCTTGGGTACCCTTTTTGAAGCGACTTTTATCCAAGAAGTGCACCCTTCTTTATTCCTTGGCTGCTCTTGGGCCTAGAGACTCTACGTCCTAAGCCCTACAATCCTCGGCCCTAAGCTTTGCTGCCCGCACTTCCAGGAAGATGGTTCTGCCAAAGCTGGGAAGCAGTACCAGAGAGCTGCCGGCCAGGCGGAGTCCTCTTGCTCGTTTGGAAGCCTTGAGGTGAGAAGGGTTTCTTGGTTCTTTGTGCTTTTGCTTCTGAGTAAAATGTCGAGCCATGTGAGCTGCTTTAGGGCAGCACACATCCCTATGTAGTCCCAGAAGGTCACCTCAAGTTCTTCCCTAGGAAACTGCACGAGCGGGAGCTGCGGCCTCGGGAGGGTGCGTATGGCCAGTCCTCTAACCTCTGAGCCCGCTACACCCCCACGCCCTTAAACCCGTAGAACCCGAAGCCTGATATGATGCAGCAACAAAGCGGGGCATGAAATCTATGCACCGATCATCTTCCATAAGGTACAAGCCAGGGGATGTTTGGGATTTAGGGCCAAGGGTCGAGGGCCTGTAACAACAGGTAATATCTTCAGTTCTGTACTAGCTATGGTTCACGGCTTGATCACCTACGGCTCAGTACTTGTGGCCATGTTCAGCGCAGGTTGTGTTCAACGATGGCGAGCATCTTGGCTGCCCCGCAGTCCTTGCTCTCACCATGAAAGGTGGAAGGTGATCGGCCTTGTTGAGAGTGAGCTGATGTGGTTCCTTGAGAAACAACGGGCTCTGCTGGCGTTTGCAAGTACGGGCACGAAGAGTTCACAGATCGAAAGATTGCTCGGGATGCAGAATGATGATGATGATGATGATGATGATGATGATGATGATGACCGTGATGACGATGATGATGATTCTATTTCTGTTGTTATCAGTGCGCTTCCGACGGGTATTTATCGTATCCCCTTTATTCTCTGTGATTGTAAGATTGTGCCCATGTATTCACCCAGGTACCGGCAGTCTATCCAGATCCAGACCATTTCCAACAAGTTCTGGTCGCCAACGCAGCTAGACGAAGCTGGCGGTTTGGCTTGGGGTTTACAGTTTAGAGCCCAACCCATTTAACATGACGGCTCTAAACCCTGAACCGCAGATCCTTGCGACTTTGGCCGGGGGCGGAACTTGGGTTTAGGGGCTTGAGGTAAGCCAACTTATGCCCTTGAGGAGAAGCCTCCCCCACCACTGACTGCCGAAACTCAGGGCATCAACTTCCAAAACGCGGGATCCGCAACCCCAACCCTCAAGCCCTTGGAAACCCACGTGGGTGGAAGCCTCCGGCTGTCTTTCCAAAAATCCAGCATCCCAGTTACCTCGAGTTCATTCTCGGTTCAAGCTTTCAGGCTGTTGAAAGGGGCGCTTCAGGGTCTTCAGAGTTCAGGGTTCAGGCTTTAGGGTTTAGGGTTTTGGGTCCTTCGGGTCCCCTCCCCCCACCCTGCCAGCAAAGCCTTCAACTTCACCAAAGGCTGGAGTTCAAGATCCACCTGGCGAATCCGGCCGGTGGTTCCGTGGGCCCCTTGCTGGCCAATTTATGTTCTTCCCCTTAAGGTTCCCCTGCAGAGGTTTAGGGAGTTTAGGGCTTGGGCCCTCTTGGGGGGTTTAGGGTCCTCTATTGCTGCGCCATTCTGCTCCGGGCTTTTAGATTTGACGATTTTGGGGGGTTTATGATTCCGGGTTTAGGGTTTAAGGGGTTTTGGAGGGTCTATGACAGCTTTTATTCAAGCCCCTCGGAGCTCGAAGGGGATATGTGAGATCGCGGAGCTTCGGGGGAGCGACTGCAAACCGTCCGGGAGGCGCTGCGCATCCCACAAATCCGGCAAGGGCCTGTGTTTAAGGTTTAGCAATACCAGCATTTTCCCGTTACAGCTCTCATACCGACAAAATGCAAGCTACCCAAACTTCCATTCTCGTCAAATGAGCCCCTATCCCATATAGCACTCAGATTTTCGCCTAGCTGTGCCATTCCCATCATGAGGCATCCACTTGCGCTCGTGCCGCGTCAAAGTGATTGATGGAGACACCTTCCCCTCCAGCAAGCATCATGACCTGCTCAAGCAGCGCGGATTGACTTGGCTGAGGTGAGGGACCTGCAAAGTGGGAGGTTTCACACTGTTCCAGCAAGTTGTGCTCACGACGATGCACTGTCCTTCTTTGAAGCTTCGAGAAAAATGGCCCTGACATTTAGATGACCCTGAAGCCTTGAGAAGCGAGTCTTGCTTGCGATTTCGCTTCAGCACATTCGGTCGGAGTAGCAGCTGGGAGACCCTTCATGAATGCGGCATGCACGATCACACTATGCGCAAGCTTGATCCCTAAGGACCCAACAACCCCGGAGCCCCCAAACCCTAAGCCAACTGAGGCAAGGCGAGGAGGGAGTGAAGAAGATCCGCGACCCGGCAGCACGAGGGGGTGGAGGGGGGGAGGGGGGGAGGGGGGTGCTTCCCAAGAGTCCATCGAGGTTTGGGATGTCGAGGCTTGGGCTCCCAAACGTCCGGCTCCTGGAGTTCCCTCGCAAAACCCAGTACTTCTCCGCGCCCCTGGTGCAATCTCCCCGAATTTGCCCTAGAGCAGCCCATAAGCAAATCCTGAAACCTCAGCTTGAAATGTTGAGAAGTGCAAACACAAATGCAACTGATCCAGGTAGCATCAGCCTGTTGTGGGAGCCCCTCGGCTTTCAAGGGTTCGGCGGGTTTCGGACTTTAGAGGTTCGCAAGCTTTCAACGCCGGGCTTGAGAAAGTCATCTTTGCTCTTTGCCCCATATCTCCGGGGCGCCTGGGGGGGGGGGGTGACTTTTGATAGACTTTCGCTATTCGGCTACACGGTACCCTTCTTTGTGGTTCCTATATCAGGGATTGCAGCATGCACTTCTGGGAAGCTTGTCGGGTTTAGGGGGAGGTTAAAATGGCATCTCATGCAACCCAGACCAGAGTCCGAGTTCCGAGCTTCCCTTGGGGTGTTCTTAAGGGGGGAGGGGGTTCAAGGGAGGATTAGGGACCCAAGGTGTATCATACCTTGAACCCCGCTCCCTGAAGAAACCCTAGAATTCCCTGAAGCAAAGGTACTGGAAACTCTGCCTCCTTCAAGTGCCTGGCATTGGAGTCCGGACCTTCGTGACGCTGATTGTGGACGAATTCCGGCGACTTGTCGTCAGTTGGTTAAGGAGTAAGGTCGAAGAGACCAGCAGCTGATCCGGTCCATTTTGGAGATCTCTATGATAGAATAGTCCGTGTTCGGAACTAGCAACGTTCGACCCCCAAAGGCAATAGTCTTCTTGGGATGAAACAGTGGCCTGGAGCCCAAGCCTGATAACGAGCTTGGAACCATGAAATCCTAAGTTGTATGAACCCTGAGTTGACGCGACCAGCTTTGGGTCAGGAGGTGAGGAAGTTTCCCCGGCCACGGCTTCAATGGCAATATCATGAGGATCTACATATATACATATATACATATACACATATATATATACACATACTTATGTGCATCTCCTGTACATGTTTGATTCGTACTTCCTTACGGCAGCCATGCAACTGCTACAAGAAGCACTAAGTCCCCCAAAGCCTTTCTTTCCTGAGCCCCTGTAGGAACATCAAGCGGCTCACGGTCCTCCTCCTCCAGGCCTTCCTGGCTCTCGGGATTTTCCCAAAAGGGTTCCGCATATTTTAGGGTTGAGAGTCCAGGGTTTAGGGTTTTAGGGTTTAGGGTTTAGGGTTTAGGGCTCCGGGTTTAGGGTTTAGGGCTTAGGTGGATGTATCTCGACGGCGGAGAGAATGCTAGACTTGGGGTTCACCTGTCTTTCGCTGGGAGCAGAGTGTTAAACCTCAAGACGGTTCAACACCTTCAACTTTGTCATAGTTGGGAAACGTTTTACATTTTAGGTGTACTTCAACCCAATAAGGAATATAAAATTTCAATTTTTAATACTATCCCAACCATGAACTAGTCAAGACCTCCTCAGAATGTTGGGCCCGGCGCTACGGGGACTTCGTTCTTTGTTGCTTCTGCGCCTACGGCCTTCTTCATCATTGAAAGCACCATGCGCGAGAACTTTGCAACTATACGTTTCGGTACATGAGGCTCTTGGGTAGCTATGAGTAGGGCGATACGAAACCTTACTGAGGGTATATCTAGGCATGAACAATCAAGCGGGGGGAGTGGGTGGGATCGGGTGCATGTCCACGCCACCAAAGATCCGATCCTCAATTGTAGCCCCTGGGGTTCGTAGGTTATAACTTAACCCTTACCGCAGACCCGTAGCGTAGCCTAAACAAGGTCCTTCTCAAGAAGTGAGAGCAGGTTTATCTGGTGGATGTCGTCTTCAACACAACCGATGCGGAGTCGCAGGCACATCGGGGGAATGGTACCTTTCGGGCTCGGAAGATAGGGCTTAGGGTTTACGGTTTAGGGTTTAGGGTTTACGGATTAGGGTTTAGATTGCCTTCAGCCTAGCCTTGGGTGTAGAGCATCCCCTCATTTTAACATCCCGGCATCCCCAACATAAACCGTAAGCCCACAGCGCCAATGGTGCAGCCGGACACCAGGCGTCCCCATGAAGCCTTCGATGGAGAATCCCAAACGTCCTCAGCACCAAAGCCTTTTCTACTATTTGCCCCCAAGAACCCCACAAAATACGAAAACTATAATCCCTTTATTGCACTTATTTAATGGCTACCGCCAGTGCCGCCGAACCCAGATCTAAGAGAGTCTTGCTGATGGCACGCTTAAGGCCCCAAACCCAAACCCCTACAACCTCAATGCCGAAACCCGGAACCCCGAAACCTAAACTTACAACCCTTACACCCTGAAACCCTAAACCCTAAACGTCCAAGAAAACCCTAAACCCTAAGCTCATAGGAGCCATGGGTCCATGGGGGCCATGGGGCCATGGAGGTCGAAGGGATGGGGCCATGGGGAGGGCGGGCGGAGCGGGCGTGGAGGGCGGGTGGAGCGGGGGAAGGGCGGAGCAAGCGGAGCGGGCGGAGCGGGCGGGCATGCACTGGGGCCCTTTAAAGTCATTTGATCGGGTCTAGAGGCATAGGGCCAGGGGGGATTGGGGTGTTTGAGGTCGAGAAGATGGGGCCATGGAGCCATTGCTGGCCATGGGGCCAGGAGCCATGGGTCCATGGGGGCCATAGGGGCCGAAGGGATGGGGCCATGAGGGGCGGGCGGAGCAGGTGGGAAGGGCGGAGCAAGCGCAGGGCAGGCATGCACTGGGGCCCTTTATGGGGCCAGGAGCCATGGGTCCCTTTAAAGTCATCTGATAAAGTCATCTGATCGGGTCTAGAGGCATAGGGCCAGGGGACCATGGGGCCATGGGGCGGCGAGGGGGGGTAGCGGGGTTGGGGGGGGTGGTGAGAGGGCGTGTAGCCATGGATGGGGGCCAGCATGGAGGTCTGGAAGGTAGTATAAAAAGCAGTGGGTCTTCACTGACGCCGCCCCCGGCTGGGGTCGGCGGATAAGGAAAAATGTTTTTGTTCTTTGGGTGTTCTTAAGCAAATAGTAGTTTTTGGCCCCCTTACGTCCTTAGCTCGGTTCTTGGTGCTAACTTGCATGAAGTTTGACCAGCATGCTACAGTATGGCATCTCCTGAAGTATCCTTATTGTAACTTACTTTGAGTTCCTTCAACAAGGAACCCAAGAACCCAAGTCAATCCCCAACATCCCTCACACCGAAGCATCCCCGAACCTTGAAGTCCTTGAAGCTCTCAGCCCCCCAAGCTCGAACCCCAGACCCTAAACCGCAAGTTTCTTTGGTGTTTAGGGTTTAGGGTACTTCCTCAACCCTGCACCCTCAACGCTTTTCGGGTTTAGGTTTTAGGGTACCAAACACAGCTCGAAACACTTGTCGGGCTTAGGGTACCAAACACCCCCAAGCCCGAAGCACTTTCGGGCTTAGGTTTAGTGAAGTTCACTACACCGGCACTGGAACTCGCAGCAGGAGCAGCTCATCGGTTCCTCTCGGAAAGAGACCGCCATATTTGTTGGGATTCTCATTGCCGAGCCCTCGGATCTTGGGACCTAGGGGTTTCGGGTTTTGGGTTTTAGGGCCTTTAGGGCTTTGGGGTTTAGGATCCTAGGGTGGATGATTTCGGGCTCCGGGGCTTAGAGGTTGAGATGTTTAGCTTTGAGCTCTTGTGGGGGGTCGGGGGGAGGGGGGGGTGCAGCAACAGGTCTTGAGGGTTTCCGAAACTACCCCCGTTGGTCTTGCAAAGTCAAGCGCAACCCTCAGGCGCGGTTTAGGGTTCAGAAGCCAACCGGAGAGACATTGAGACTGCGAGAAGCCAAGAACGTGCCGCGCGTGCTACGCATTTTGGACATCTGCGAAGGACCTGAAGAACCCTAAGCCGAATTTCTCGAAGGTTACCTGGGAGTTCTAAACAAGCTTTGAAGGAACGACGCACAGGAAGACCTCCGTGGCAAGCCTACAGGGCCCAAATGGTTGTGCGGAAAATGCAGCCTCCAACCCCAAAACACAGCCTACCCGCATTCGAACACAGTTGGGCTACGACGGCTACGAATCCAAGCCCTCCGGAAGCAACCCCCCTCAAACCCCCCCCCCCTCCCTCCCCCTCACCTCTCTTGAACCCCAAGGCCGCACCGATGTTCTTGGTCCACATTGCGGCCCTCATCAAGGCATCGGGCTTGGGGCTCAGGGCTTACATTTAGGGTTTCCAAGAAGGCATCTTGCAAGGGGCTAGCATATGAGCTTTTGTGTGGCTAGACAGGCTTTGCGGGGAGGAGGGGGTCCTATAATTTATAAGGGGTATAGAGGTTAGCTATCGCAACATATTGGGGACATACCCATATAGCCGCTTAAATTGAGTTTTAGGGTTGAGAGCTTCTCTTCTTGTAATGGGGCTTGTTCTAGCGTTGTTCTAGGACCTTATGGAGCGGAAAGGCGTTTATGTCACGTTTGCAGGATGTTGACGGAGCTTGCTGGGCTTGTACGGCTGAAAGGGCGCACGGGCGTTATGATGGGATTTACAAGGTTCAAGCGTTTCTTTGCGGACACTGGCTTTCGGAGGCCTCGGCAATGCATGCAGGATCTCGATGATTCCGTAGGCATCTGAACCACTCCGTGTGGGGAGTGCAGCCTGTAGCTTCAAGTTGACTTCCCTCGCAGTGCTGATATCAATCCCTAAGCCCCTAAAGTCCCAAAAAAACCCTCAAAAGAACCCACAGAACCCTCAAAAGAACCCTCAAAACCCCTCAAAGTGCCTTCGGAAGACAAGCTTGGGAAGGCGAGGATGGACTTGAAGGGCCATCTTCAGCTGTTTCTGCAGCGCAGCCTTTACCGAAAGTACCTGAACTACAGCCGCTTCGGCGTCAGCGTTAGGGGGTTTAGGGTGCAGGGCTTGGGTGGTTCAAGTGTCTAAGGGTTAAGGGTTAGGTGGTGAAGGGTCTAGGGAAGAGACGTAGATTTAGGGTCCGGCAGGTCGGCGTTGTGGAAAACGCTTTCAACGTTCACCTATAGCTCTTACGGCGTAAGAGCAGAGGGGAAACAGACAAAAGTGCAATGGCGTCACGAAAGAAGGATGATGGCTCAGACTGTGAGGTCTCAATGTACGACCCAACCTGGAAAGTTTTGGGCCAACCGAACGGCCTCGAAGTCTTTGCCTGGCACCTCGACAACCCCCCAAACCCCAAATCCCGAACCCTGCCCAACAAGATCACCAAGCCTTGAGGCCCTAAACCCCAAACCAAACCCTAATGCCCCTAACCCCTTTCCCGAAATCCAGAAAAGAAGCCCGAAACAGCACCAAGCCCAAACAGCCCTGACAAGCCACCGATACCTCGCTCACCCCCTTTGCAAAAAGAAAAACACCAATAATAACAGTGTTTTTTAATTTTTGTAGTAACAATAATAAGAAGAAGAAGATTGTAATATATATATATATATATATATACACATATATATATATACATATATATATACATATATATATATATATATATCAGCCCCCAAACCCAAGGTGAGGAATCACGCAGTTCGGTGCCGCCGGCCCTGATGCAGAGCGCCGCCTGCTTTCTTTATTTAGTCAGGGCTTAGAGACGGCGGGGCCCTTTTCTTGAGGGATTTGGGTTTAGGGTTTCAAAGTTGGAGATTCTGGGACTTTGAGTCCGTTTTAAATTTTAGGGTTACGCACAAGGCACCAAACTCTAAACATGGGGAAGACAAGTGGGAGTTTCCAAAGAATAAACAGTGTCCCCTGGGCTCTCCCCTAGAATCCCCCAAAAGGATTCAGAAGGAAGTTTCGACAACCCCCTGGATTGGATTCTCGTTTGTGCAAATTACAGCGGCCACAGGACGAACCGACAGAGCGCGATGTTGCGGGTTCAGGGGGAACTTGCACGGGGGGCGGAGCTTCTTCCACGGCGAGAGACGCGGGACGGGGGGCAGGGGGCAGGGGCACCACGGGAGACTCTGGAGTTGGGATCCGAGAGGCCGGGGGTCGGAATAGGGGAGCATGCAGATGAGGACTGCGTCATTTGCAAATGTGTATGAAAGTGGAGGACCCACAATCGGTCCTCTGGTTTACATGGCCATAACACGACCATGCCTTGAGCGGGACTTCCAAAGAAGCTCACCCCATGGGTAAACTCACTTTCGGCATGCTCTTGTTGCAGTTTGCTTTGTTTTTTGCTTGGGAGCTTCAATTTTGTTACCAGAATACCTGGGTGCACATGACAAGAATCTTCGTGCCCTCATTTTTGACCGTTTTGTACAACTTCCTTGCAAGAACCCCCAGCATAAGTGCCCTAACCTCAGCTCTTAACCTGACACCTCGGCCTAAGCTTTAGGGTTTAGGGTTCTGCTAAGCCCTAAACCCTAAACCGACCCTAGACCCATAGCGCATTTCAACCACTTGGAACTGGCAACTTCTAGACTTAACCTCGATCCCGCAGCACCAGAAGGCCATCACTCGAGAGTCGGGTGCCTTCGCAGCACTGAGGGGGGCCTTCACAATGTGGTGGTAGGAGAGTTGGGGGTTGCTCGACTAGTAGGATCTTTTTGGGGCTCTGATTGAAGTCCAGAAATTTTACGAGGCGCCTGCTACAAGGGGACGCTACTGTAAAGCAAAGGCCGGCATTCAGAGCTCTGAGGTTGTTGCACTCTGGAGTGTCCGACCACGGTTCAGATGTCACTGGATGCCCTAGGATCCCAAGCAGGGCCCCTCATTTGTCCTTGTGTCGGGGTTGGGATCCATGAACCCCTTGCTTAACCCTATGCGACCTGGGAACCAAGTTCCAGTGGACTTCTTCGCGCCCGTTAAAAGGACCATCTTGTGGCCACACCGCAAGACTAACTACCTCGGAGTTTCGTGCCACTCACATATGCTGCGGGGAACTCTGCTGTTTTAGCTGGTGTATATACATATACATATATGTATATACACATATTAACCCCATGTCATGTATATTGTGGTTCTAAGGGGAGTATAGGCCTACTTGTAGGCACCTGACTCTTTGTTTTCGCGCCCAAGCCAAAGGCCGGGAACCAAGATCGCAGAAGAGTAAATAGAGGACCGCTGCAAACCAGATAAGCCCTATAAACCCTGCAGGTTGTCTGGAACAAGGGAGAAAATCATTTGCTTGTTCTAAACCCTGTAAGCCCCAAAACCAACAGCAGAAATCCCCGAACCGTACCCTAAACCCTAAGCCCTAAACTAAACCAGATGAAGCCGCCGCCTCCTTCGGCAAAGTGCTGGACCTCGTGGCGATCGTGTGTCAGCACATGGGGCTGCAATCGGATTGCCCAGGGTAGGTCTGCGAGCGCGCTATGTTTCATATGTTGCTAAGCCCTATAAACCCTCTAAGTCCTGCAAATCCCGTAAACCCTAAACCCGATAACAAAATGACCCCCATAAATCCTATAAACCCTATAAACCCTTTTTGAGCCCTGAAGCTCCAAAGTAGCTGTGGATCTTACCTCGGCCCCTGGGAGCTCTGACACCTTCCACAAACCCCAAGTGGGTCCAGGTTTGGGGTTTAAGGTTTAGGGTTTGGGGTTGAGGGTTTAGAGCTGCAAGGGTTTTAGGATGTAGGGCTTTTTGGGGGTTCAAGGTAGATTGCTTCAGATCAGATCAGGATCCCCTAGTGCGATTCGGGCACACTCGGGTTGTTGGTTTCGGAGCCTGAAGCTTCGTCAGCTCAGGCTCGGGATCTTCGCATACTTCACCATCGCGGAGAACCCCACTGCCATGTACTTCATTGTGGCCATGCCGGTCAGTATGCTGATCTACTTCACGATCATGAGTCTGACGCGAGGCTGCAAGGACATGGACAAAAAACCCTGGGCAGGAAGGGCCCCTGAAGACTCCCGAATTCTTAGGGGCCCCCGCTCTCCCCACCCTGTAAAATCGAACCTCAATTGGATCTCAGCTCAGGGGCAAAGACCGCCCAAAAAGTCTTAACATCTAATGCCTTAAGCACCCAAGGATCCTTCAACCCCAACCCCATAGACCCCACACAATACTCCTCAAAGTGAAGGGCTGCGTGCGCAGGAAAGCCCTCCCCCCCCAAGACAAGGAGTGGGGTTTCCGGGCTCGGCCGAGATGGCTTAGGATTCGGCTTTTGGGTTTAGGAGGTTTAGGGTTTAGGGCTTAGGGCTTAGGGCTTTTGGGTTTACAGGGTTAGGCTTCCCTGTATCCTCTCCGGCATGGGACTACCACCTGGCTAAAAGCCCCCCAAAAACCCTTTAACTTCCCACAAGCCCAAGACAGACTCAGGTGTCGCGGGCCGCGAGATCAGTGGAAGGACCACTGCCTTCAGCAAATCCAGGGGTTAAGATAAGCCCTTGATAGTTGCTTCGGGGGGTTTGAGGGCTTATGGGGTTTGCAGGGTTCAAAGGGCTGAGTTGGAGGTTCTTAGAGGGCTTTAAGGTTCAGGATTTAAGGGGGGTAGGCTTTTTGGGGAGGCGGCTGAGGAATCATGTCGGGTTTCGGCGTGTTGAAGCGACATCGGGCGTCCGACGTCTGAGCTTGAGTTTTCAGGTTTGTAGGGTTTGGGGGCTTGGGGCCCCAAGCACTCTTTTCGTCAGCCTCTTGAGGAAGTGGAAGACTCCATGCTGTTCCTGGTCGATGAGGCTCATCAAGCAGGGTTGCTCTTAAGGAGCCCATTCTAAGGCACAAAACTAGGAACCCGAAACCGTAAACCCCAATGATGGGATTTGTGAATAGACATATGTCTCACTCTATCGCTCTCTCTCTCTCTCTCTCTCTCTCTGTCTCTCTGTAGGCCTAAAACTTCTTTGCGGAAGGGTCCAAGAACAGTTCAGAACAACACCCCCTGAGTTCCTAAGATCAGCCAAAAGAACTCAATTGGGAAGCCCGAAGTCCAATCGGCTCGGCGTCTGCTTTGCAAGACGAAAGAGAAGTTTTGGGGGGGTTTGGGGCTTTTTGGAGCATCGAGAACAACCCCTAAGCCCTAAACCCTAAGCAGCCGAAAGCCCTGGTGATGGGGTTCTTGCAGAAGTCCAATGACCCCCGTGATTCTGCTTGTCCGCCGATGGCAAGCCCCGGAGGTTTGCCACCGCTACCGGCTCGTGGCAGACTACTTCCAGAGGCCTGCAGCTTCTGACTGCTACGAGTACATCTGCGAATCTGTTGCGTTTATTCCGATTAGTATCACTAGTTCTACTGCTACTGCTACAGTTACTGCTACTGCAACCGACGCCACCGACGCCGACGACGACGACCTAGTTGTCCTACTCCTACTGTTACTAGCTGCCTGCCAAGCCACCCACGTACAAATACATTTTCAAGTACATTTTCACTGTTCACCTTGATCCCTTTGCCGCGCGGCTTGCTGTCCTAGTGAGTGCTGGCTCGCAGGCCGCAGATGAATGAGGAGTTCCAGATGCTGGACTACTTTAGTTTTCTAGGGCATCCGTAAACAGCTCGGAGGCTCCAACCTGCAATCAGGTGTTCTCTTTTTTCTTAGGTTACTGTGGCTTGAAGGTCGGAACCCAACCTCGATCCGAGGTCATGTGCGTAGATGGATTCCTTAAGCGTGTCATATGTCGAGATCGTTGAACGTTTGTCATGTTAGTCTTTATTGTCCTCTGTTTGGCTGGTGTACCAAAACCTGCCTCTGCATGTTTGTCGCGTTGGCATTTGAGGAAGACCAGCGGCGATCTCCAACGACAGATGGTTCCGGACCCTGCGAGCTCTCTTTGAGTATAGGGTTTGGGGTTGAAGGTTTAGGGTTAGCATATGCCCGGGGCTGGACGTGTCATTTTCATTTTAATGTGGTCAAGACGTGACTACGAATGGGCGGCCTGAACCCAAACGAGGCAAACAGACACCCTAAACCCCCTAGGCCCTGCCTTCTTCCCCCAGGCCCCAAAACCTACTTCTTTTGCGGCCACCACGTCAGAACCTGACTTTCGGGCTTCACCCCATGACCTGATGCCGATGCCCACAATCCTCAGCCCTAGACCCGACTGAACAGGATCACCTTCGAGATGCCAATGACAACATGTTCCCAAAGTGGCCGCTTGGCTTCTCACAGGGCATAGCCAGCTTTGTTCTTGGTACCAGGTTCCCCAACCCCCCAATGAAGAACACATATACCGATAACGTGTTCGGAACTTTTTTGGGGGAGTTTCAATATTTCGGGCGGTGTGTCAGTTGGTTTGTGCGCCCCCTAGGCACATCGGCATGGAGAGCCCTCCTTGCTCAACTCAACCCTAAAACTAGAATCCCCTCTTCCTAGAGCCCTAGACTCCCAAACCCCCAACACCCTCAATAGCCCTGAGCAAACGCCAAGTCAGAAGAGCCACAAGATCCTTACGGGAGGCTGGTTAAGGGGAAGCAACCGGGAGAGGGAGGTAACGCGATGACTTCAATCCTCAACCCCCAGCACTCTTCTTCCTCCCTAAACCCTGTGATCCTTAAGCCCTCCACCCTGAGATGAACCCCGAAGACGCTTGGTACTCCTAAGAGGGACTCCACTCCCATTGCGGCGGCTGAGGCTGGGTCCGTTCTTCATGGGCCTCTACGTGGCCATCGAGGTCGTCTTTGTGCATTTCTGTAGAGTCACTGTAGAGGTTTAGGGTTTAGGGCTTTAGGGTTTAGGGGTTCGGGGGGGGTCTACGGAGTTTCTGTTAGGGTTTGGGGGCTTAGGGGTTCTTCTTTAGGGGTTCGGGGTCTACCTGCTTCGGGATTTGAAGGTGTAGGGTTCTTGCGGGTGCTCTTTTGAGAGTTGAACCCTCAGGGAAGTCCTGAACTCTTGCCTTTCTTTTCAAGGTGCGCGGCTACAAAACCCTAAACCTAGGGAAGCACTTTCACGATGTATTGGGACGCGCGAAGGAAGACGCCGAGCACTCTTGGATTCAGGCTGTTCAGGGCTCAGGGTTCCTATGGGTTTGCTTACTTGGTTGGTGTATAATTAGGGTTTAGGGGTTTAGGGTTTAGGGGTTTAGGGTTTAGGGTTTAGGGGGTCAACTCCCGGCCCAGGCCAACCGGGTCCTGGACAACTCCCTGAGCCTGGGCACCTTTCTTGCCACGGTGGGCATCATGATACTCGGCATGCCGCAAGATTCTGCAAGTGTTCGTGAACTTGGTCGCGTTTTTGTAGAGTCTGAGAGGACGTAGGATCCCAAAAATGGGAAAGAACTGGACGCGAGTCAGTTTGGTGGGTTTTCAGGAGGGCGTGGAGGTTTCGGGGATACCTCGTTTGCTGGTCGGATGTTACTAAGCAGAAAGTTATGTACCAAACAACAAGGAACTACAACGAGCACTAGCATAGAGACAGTGCCAGAGTTTTATACGACATGCACATCTTGCAACTTCCCAAGACCAAGCTTTTGGGAAAGTTTTTGCCCAGGAAAGACATCAGCGAAGAATTCGAAGAGGCTTTGCACTACACAGGATTATAATTTGGGGCTGAGGGTTGTTAAGCTGAGGATGAAGGCTTCCGAGCTCACATGTTTAGCTTCGTGTGTGATTTTGCGTACTGTGCCCCTTCCTGCATGCCTTTCTCTACAAGCGAAGCCTTCTGGCCGCTGCTGGGCACGTTAACAGTGGAGAAACCTCTGTGAAGGCCTTCAACTTAGCAAACATCCTGAAGTTGCCCTCTCAGTTCCTTAAAAAATCCTGACAGTTGGCTTGCACAACCTTGAGACACCTCAGCGCGTACACCTCCAGTTGGCCTTTCTCCGGGTTGTCGGAGTCTGCGCAGCTTCGAGGGCTTACTGTCGAGACACAAGTCCGGATCATCTTGCAGGTAGAATGAAAATATTGATGTCTGCACGGGCTTCAAATCCTGCTTTGCCAACAACAACGCAACAGCTTCAGACACAGCTGGCTCATAGACGCTAGCTCCCGACACCGTGCTCTTGTCATTGTTGAGGCTATGTTGCGGAGGTGCTAGTTGTAAGTCTGAGTCTCTCGGGAGGGATACGCTATCATCCTGGAGCTCAGCCAGTTCTATTACTCGGTGGTGGACTTGACAGCCGCTCGAAGCAGTTCACAAGAGCGTCGATAAGTCTTTCCTCACGGCGCGCACTTTACCTTCTCAACTTTCCGAGAGTCCCCATGCGCCCTGGGTCCAAGGTGTTCTTCAACAAAGATACAGATCTCCGTACCTGGAAGGCAGTGAACCGAAAGCGTCGTGAAGAGTCGTCGCTTGGTGCAAAGGGGGGCGTCCTTGATTCAGGCTGCGCAAGATTCGGGGGTTTCATGTTCGGCCTTGTTCGGGTTCCTTAAGACCTACACTCAAGAGTCAAGAGATTAGGGTAGATGTCAACATTTCGTTCTGCTTGGTAGAATATCCACGCAGTGAGCACATAGTGAGGGCCCTCTCCGCTCCGAAGCCTCAGCTCAAGAAGGTGCCACCCTAAACCCCCCCGAACGCTCCCCCCAAAACTCCCAAACTTCCGCCATTGAGACCGCAGTCTGGGCTTTGGGAATGCCAAAACCATGTGAAGGAAAAAAGCGCGAGACGCCTCTTTCGCGAAGCCAGCTCCTGCTGTGCCTGCGGACGCCTCTCTCGCGAAGACGGCTCCTGCTGTGCCTGGCGAAATGGAGGAGGCCGCTGAGGAGGCCGGCTCGGGCGATTTTGGGGGGGGCCACAAATGGAGTTCCAGCCCCGGTTCATTTCAAAGTGTTGCTGTCGTGTTTAGGGCTTTGCGTGTGAACCCCAAACCCTGAACTCGAACTACAGCCAGCTTGGAGATGGCTTGGACTCCCTTTTTAGGGTTTAGGTTTTTGGGGTTTGGGGTTTAGGGGGATCTAGATTCAGGAGTAAGCCCTAAACCTTAAACCCAGTGGTTTGTTTAGAAGGGCTCCTTAAACGGGAGCCTAATACATCATTAGCTTCAAGACATGGCTTATTCAGTAAAGATGGATGTGTGGCGTGGGGTTTTAGAAGTACATAGGGATTATTGGGGGATGATGGTGGTAAGTATTTGGGCTATTCAGGCTCCTGTAGTATGCCTCAGCCCTGGGCCCTCAAATCCCGAAATAGCTCTGAGATGGCCCCGGTTGCCAAGACGTGGACCTTTGAACTATGGAGCAGGACGTACTCGGAGGTATACAAGTCGGGTTACACGTAGGGTCATCCTGCTTTATCTAGGGTACCTATAAACCCCACTTCTGAATGCCAATTGGGCTCCAAGCATACGACTCTCCATGCCCCGAAGCCTTACATCCGCGGCTTTCCCAAAACCAGCAGCGGTGCCCTCCAGAAACTTAAACCTCAACCAGCTTACAGACATGCCAGTGCATCTTCCGTCTGTGCCCTTATGGTCCACGCCATTCTGGTACACTTCGCTGTCGTTGAGAGTGCCACAAAAGGCCCGCTCAACCCCCACGTGTGGAACCTAAACCCTGAACCCGGAAACGCTACACCCTGAAGCCCAAACCGTTCTGAACTCCCCCGAAGCCCGAGATGTCAAACCCTAAACCCTACAGCCCCCCACTGAAGCCCTGCAAACCCTTTCTGCCCTAAGACCTCTTCAGGCAGAAGCCCCGCCGGAGCCTGCAGAAGCCCCGCAGGAGCCGTCGGCGGACATGGAGGATGGGCTCCGTTACTGCTCCGTACTGTTGGCTTCACGGGGTTCAGGGGTTTTAGGGGCTTAAGGTTTGGGAGTTACAAAGGTGGGGTTGTGGGATGATTTTCAGGGCTTGGGAGTGCAAGCGTAGGGTTAAGAGGATTTTGCAGGGCTCCGCGAGGGTTTTCCAGGATTCGTGCAGCAGGGTTTCGCGATTCAGTTTTTCGGTGCCGTGGGATTCGGAATCAAGATGCAGAATTCTAATGACTGTGCTTGAAGAGATCGCTGTTTTGCTTCCGCTGGCTCCCCATGTTCAGGGGATCGTACAACAGCCAAGAAGCTTCTGAAGGGCACGGAAATCTACGATCAAACTAAACCTCCCCCCACCCTACAAGCAGGTCGTGTACAAGACGGACCTCATCCCGATCAGGAGCCTTGACATGCCCTGGATGCGGTTTCGGTTTAGGGTTTAGGGTTTAGGGTTTAGGGTTTAGGGTTTAGGGTTTAGGGTTTAGGGTTTGGCCTTTGGGGGTTCGTTGTTTTGGTGTCTCGGGGAGCCTGAGAACCCGAAGCTTCCAAACCCTAAACCTTCGAGATTTCTGAGTCCGTGTGCCGGCTCCAGTTTCAGGTTCGGAAGGTTCGCTTCTTCTCTGGCAGCAAGGAGTCAGCTATCATCGTCCATGAGCACGATATAGGGTTCATGCGAATTGTGGGTGTCCGTGTTTAGTACAACAGATCAACCGTATTGCCGCACTTTCTGAGGAGCACCCCATCTCGATCACCCAGAATTATCTTGAGAGTCACGTCCCAAACTCCAAACGCCCCCAAGAAAGACAGTGCTTGTTTGCTAAGCTCTTTCGAGGATAGAGGGGATGTGCTACTCGCGGGAGAAGCCCATCTTCACAAACGTTAACGCAGCTTGGCGTGACCGGGGAAGTGCCAGCTACTAGCTCGAGAACTTGTGAGGGGTAGGGTTTGGGATCTAGGGTGAGGCCTGTGGCTGCGTGTAAGCAGTTTCTCTGGTTGCAGCTGCAGGCTTCGAAAGTATGGCTTTAGCGGGTTGGTGGTCAACAATAGTTTGGGAAGGCTGGCAGGTTCTGAGCCGCCCGGCCGCCGCGGTGAAGCGCTCCAATGAGCGAAGCCTTAGTATAGACATTGATACAGATATGTCTGGGGTTGAATCGCGTTTTGTGGTTTTCTATACCTCCTAGGACGGGTTAGAACCGGCAGTACTTGCCAGAACCCCCCCCCCCACACCCCCCAACCCCAACTCCAACTCCAACCCTACAAGCCCTTAGAGCCTTGTCTCAACCTTCATGGGCCCTACCAACTTTCGACAAACCCCCAAAACAAAACTGTGAAACCCCCTTTCAAACCCTGAACAACCCCCTATCAAACCCCTAAAATTGTTCCTGAAAGGTGTCGGTCCAGCAGGGCCAGCTGGTGGCCGTCACGGGCCCCCACGGCTCCGGAAAGGCCACGCTGCTGAGGCAGCGCAGAAGGTGGTGAGAGTGATACAGGGGTCGGAGTAATTTCTAGTAGTATTCCCTTACGGTTCCTAGGCAGGATACTCTAATCACCCCAAAAACCCTGGTTTGATTATTAAGGCCCCTACAGTAAGGCAAGTGGTGCCTGTGTGAGGGGGCAGGCTTGGTTTTCTTGTGCAAAATCAAGGATTGCATTCTCGGGCTTTTGGGATTCAAGTTTAAGGGCAGTTGAGCTTCTCAAGATAAAAAGCCAACCCCCTCGACCCTCAACTCCTAGAAACCCTCATGCCTAAGCTCAAAAGACCAAAACAGCAAGCGGGTGATGGGAGCGGAGGGCCCCTTCCAAACCCCTTGCCCACGCCAAAGAGCTGCCAGAGAGTTTTGTCAGTGCCCCCACTTGAGAAGAATCATCCTAGGATCGCCATGAAATCCTTCATGGAATCTTCTTTCCGTACGGCGTCTTGCGCTCTCGGGGTTGATCCACGACCCCCCCAAGCAAGTTTCCTTCCTTGCAAGTTTCCCTGAGGTTGCTGGGGCATGTGGTCTTCCCACAGGAGATCCCCGAGCTTCTTCTGGGAAGTGAAAGAGATGTCAAAGCAACCCCAAGAACGCCGTTCAGAGCCCCGAAAAAGGCAAAGAGCCGAAAGGATTTCTTAGGCTCTCCGGATGTTGCAGCATTCTGGTGCGCTTCAAGGCGCTTTGACCGGGGTTCAGGGTTGAGGGGCTTGGCTTTGTGACAGTTTTTTTCCACAATTCCTACTGCTGAAGTGCAGTCAACCGAGGTTTTGGAAAGGTTTTTAACTTCGGGTTATTTGGATACGGGACTCTTCAGCTTGAGCACAAGCTCGCAGGAGGGCTTCATCTTCATCCCGTCGCACCTCCGCGTGCTGCATGTCACCCAGGAGCCGCGCACAGAGGGGGGCCCTTGGAACGGGGATTCGGAGGGTGAACCTTCGTGGACCAAAGAACAAGAAAGCCGGGCTTTTGCTTGAGAACTTTGAAGAATTGAGGCCTGAGATTCGTAGCAGTCGGGCAAGCGACCTATGGCGGTTCATCTAAACTCCCGATTTTTTGCGGAAGGGTATACTACGAAATGACCCCACAACAAAGCTATGGACCCCAGCCCCAAAGCCCTCGACACCTTCCGGAGCCCCACCCCAACCCTGAAACTCTACCGCTCCAGGAAGCGCTGCTCATGAACCTCTCCCCTTGGCGGACACTCGGCTTGTGGGTTCAAGAAGGTAGGGTTTAGGGGTTTTGGGGAGTTGCGTTTTTGGGTAGAAGGTTTCGGACACACTGAGAGCAGCCGCACCACTAAAGATGAGCCCTCAGATCCTACTAAGCTCAAGCCCCAGACCCCAGACCCCAGGTCTCGCCCGCGTAACGTTCAACAAACATGCACAGAAAAAAAGCGCAAAAGCGCAAGCTGAGCATCAACGAAGTCAATGCACCCTGTTTTCACTGCTCGGGTGCCTTAGCCAGACGAGCCCGACATCCCCCGAACCCTGAACCCCAAAACCCACTGGGCCCTGAGAACGCGACGTTCCAGGAACCTGGTCTTTGGATGCACGGACCCCAGCACTGTCGACGCGGAGCGCGTGCGGAACATCCTGGAGAGGAGACCGCGCAAAAGTCGTGCTTTTTTGGGGGGGGTTCTGAAGGTAGGACCTCAAGAGCTTCGGGCCCTTCAGAAGCCACCCGGGCCACAACCCTTCGCTGCTCCAACTTTCGGTGCAAGTTGGTTGTGTGGTTTGTTCAAAAGCAATGGCGCGGCCTGTTGCATCAATTTGAATTATATCTCATACAGGGAGTCTGGAGCCTGGGTAACTACCAAGATTTCCCTTATTTTGCCTTTGTAACCCCTGACCAAGAGCACCTTGGAATTGCAATTGGCCCTGCTACACAAGTCTAGTTCACCGGCCAGGGAAACTGCACGCAAGCACCTTGAGAATCCCCAAAAGAGCTGCATGCTGGGCTGCACTCAGGGAGCAGTTCAGATGAAGGGGCTTGCTGGATCCTGCAAGGTATTGAGGATTGGCGTTTTGCGTTTTCGGGTTGTGGGAGCGGAGCAGGATGCAGATGAAGGCGACGCTGAAGCTGATTGCGTCGGACGTGGCCAGGCATTCCAAGGGCGAACCGGCCCAGGCAAGGGTGGAGGGCGGCTTCACACAGTTTTTGCAAGGTGCCCTCAATGGCTTGATGGCTCTGCCCTAGCCGTTGCGCCTAACCCCTCGACCCAATCCTTTTTGAGCTTCATGTTTCGGAGGAATTGTCCGAAAGCTCGGGAGATTCCTGGATGGGGAGCATCACTTACACCGAGAAGGCCGGTCGTGACGCTGTGGCAGTTCAGGGTTTAGGCAGATGTCTCCCAGCGTCCGAGGAGCCTCTGATATTCCTAAGAAGTGGGTGAGGAAGCGTCACCCCCTTACCAAAAAGTCAAAGACCCTCCAGCTCCGAGATTCTGCACTTCACCTCTGAGGTCCCTTTGAATCTCGTACGTCTACCATTCCTTTGAGGAAGACCTGAGGTCTCCAGGAGCAGAGCTCGTTAGGGGGTTTCGGGTTAGGAGCTAGGGTTTTGAGAGACGCAGAATCCTTAGATGCACCTTCCCCCCGCCTGAGCCACAGACCATGAACTCAAAAGAAGAGGAAAGAAAGCCCTAAACCCCTAAGCCCTAGAGCTGGATGACTCAGAGCAGGTGAAGCTCCACCTCGCGCGCGCGTTCATCATGAACCCGGAGGCCTCGCAGCTTCAGGTTTTGGGTTTGGCAGTTAGGGCTTTGAGCCAAGTGAGCCGATCTGGTTGTCTTGTTTTGTTTTATCGGTTTAGAAAGGTTTGGGACATTTCGGTGTTCATGAGTTGATAGAGATGGCAAGCTACACATCATGTCGACTTGATCATGTATGCTTACATCACATCCAACGCTAAAAGCCAACGCCCTCAAGCCCCGAAAATGGCAATCCTAAATAACCTGATCTTCCTTGGTCACTTAGTCGCTGAGCCACCAGCTGTTGACCTTGAACAGATGCTGATCGATTCGTACCTTTGGGTGCCTCGTTATACTAGCGCAACGCTCCCCGTACATGAAGAAGCTTAAACTTCGAGGGTTTGCGGTTCAGGGTCTCGGGGTTGGAGCGCCCGTTTTGTGTGCCAGGTGATGGTGTTGCAGAGGCCCCTCCACCACTACGACGCAAACACCTCCAAGAGACTTGGCCTAGCCTTCAACAAGAAACCGAGAAGCCCCAAAAAGACCCTACTCAACCTAAACCCTGTCCACAAGTGCTAGTTTAAGCATGCGGTTGAGCCTAACGCTTGAGAGTGTAGTGTTGAGGTGTTTGAGGTTCCTAGCTGCGGCCTTTGGGCCTTCTGGAACTGCAGCCGAAGTCGTAGAGGTTGGTTCTGTTGACTTGAGGCTCAGTCTAGGAGGAGCTCAAAGACAACATCTTTGAGATGGCTAGTTTCGTGCTTTTGTCTCGCCTTTCAAACTAATGGGTTCCAAACTGCAGCCTCGTGCCCAGCTCTCCAGCTGAGGATTATGCTGGACCTGCTGCAGGCCTAGCTTTGAAGAGTTTGGCATGAGGGTCCCGGTGTGCGGCTAGCAGATGAAGTCCTTGAAGTCATTCGCGGGATCTGCTCCAGGCTCACGTGAAAGAGCGAGGTCTCGGGCTGCCACAGGACATGCGCAGTGCTTTGCACGATTTTAGGGCTCAAGTCAGGTGAGGGCTTCTGAGAAAGAGACCCCAAACGTTAGGCTCCAGACTCCCTGACTGTTCTGCATTTTTGGGCTTAGGTTGCAGAACCCTTAAACCCATTGAACCCTAACCCTTGAACCCTTTGAACCCAAAACCTAAACAGCCTTCGTTGTTGCCCACAGGAGGGTCTCGAACGGCGGCGCCCCAGAACTGTCTTTTTCACGGCGGAAGAGCATTCCCAGGCCTAGCACCAAAAAACAGAAGTCGGCTGGCGGGGTTTGAGAGGTTCGCGTGTAGGGTTCAGGGTTCAGGGGTTTTGGGTTTGGGGGTGTACAGCTTTCCCTGCTTTACGTTCTTTCAAAGTTCGCTCTGACCTTTTGGTGGGTACGAGGGTTCAGGATCTGAGGCCCTTGGGATAGGAGATTTGTTTTCTTTGCAACAACAGAGTTGAAGGACAGGTTCCTTTGGAGCCACTACTCTGTAGCTCCGGGTGCCCGAAAGTAGGAACAAGCCCTACCTGAACCCGAAGCCCGCGCATTCCTTGCAGGCACAGCGTGCTGACGTGATTTGGAGGATCCAAGAGGATGGCTCCGTCGTCACCGGCCATGAAGATGCTGGGCGGTCGTCTTGTTCAACACCCTCGAAAATGCGTAATCCTTGATCCCCCCCACGTCCCCATGAGCCCCTCCCACCTGCCAGTATAGCACCAAGCCTCAGAAGCCGCATCCAAAACCCTAAACCCTCTGCTTCTTGTCAAAGCTGACATATTTCCTAAGCAGCCGGGGTTCCGGAGCCCAATCTTCCGAGGATGAGCTGGGGACCTGGTCGAGGGGCCTTGACGCCAACGCCAAGCCCGAGAACGCCTGACCAAAGAATTTGGGGCTAGTGTGGGGTTTAGGGTTTTTAGGGTTTAGGGTTTTTAGGGTTGAGGATTTAGGGGGATAGCAAGAAGCAGTTAGCGGTCGGAGCTTCTCGTTGGGCTTTTTTTTTGTGTTTTCAAGAGCCTCTGGTATTGGGGCATGCACAAAGCGGATGCCAGGGAGCCGAGAACACCTCGTCTCCCCATTTCGAAGAGCGGTTGAGGGCCAAATCTGAAGAACCCTAAACCCTAAAGTTTTTGGGCGTGGTTTAGGCTTGGGATCTTTCGGGGTGGCGGGTTGACATAGCAGACCTATTTCTAAAAGCTCCCTGTTCGAGGAGGCGAGCCCCTTACTGTAAAAAGCAAGCTTCAGATTCGAACGATTTTATCGAATGAATGGTCAACCGCGTGGCTCCTGGCTCTTCTACCCACTTGGAAAAGTCTGAAGATCGGATAATCCTTTGGGTCAGCCCTGAGACCTGCTGGCCGCGTCTCAAAAGCGAATGCTTTGCTACATCCTGCAACACAATCGCTGCAATGAGAACGCTTCAGCCCCGATACGGAGAGTGTCATTGCTCAGCGAAATTCTATTTCCAGTAGGAGCCTAATTCTGAGAACTACCCCAATAGTCGCGCCAAATAAATAACCTTTGTTTTCTTGCATCATCTTCTTGAAGGTTCATGGGTATTTGACCCCTACTTATTTCTGAAGGAAATTATTGGTTCCCAGCATTTCAAAAATGTAGGATGTGTAGTTAAAACATTACAATTAATATTACACTGTCGAAATGAAATATTACAAAAAAATAGTATTCAAAATTTCAAAAATACAACTTACATTTGAGAATAAATCAAATAAATCTTCTAATATCTTATCTATCATCGGCGTAATTTAAGAAAATATAAATCTAATATATTTTTTATTTATGATAATATTAAAACTTATAATAATTTTACATTATTACATACTAGAAGATCAAAGATTTTAAAAATAGAATTGAAATTATAAGAATTTATATTTTAAAATTTTATTTTAATCGAATATTGATGATTCATCTTCTCGTATCATGAAATTTTATATATAATTTCTATACCATGAACATAAAAAGGAATAAAAATTAAGTTTAATATTCTAAACTAATATCATATGAAAAAAATTACTACGAAAATTTAATAAATTTGGGGGGGTGGTTCCAAAAATTAAAAAAATTAGTTGGCTTCTGATTAAGGTCTTACAATTTAATATTATTAAATTCGAACTTTAAAATTTCGATTCTAAAAATTAGAAGATTTATTTGATTTTAGATAAATACGAATCCTAATGTGTTAAAATTTGATTTATAAAATCTAAATCTTATTCAATTAAGATCTT